GACGCTTGTCATAGCGATTAGGGCAACTAGGAGCCCAATGATCAGGATCCCGACACACCTGACAAACACCTTTCTTCTTGTCATTCTTCTTCTTGAAATTCGTGTGTTGCATAGCCTTGTTCTTCCCATCAAACTTTGCTTTACCATCAAACATGCCCTTGTTCTTAAACTTGTGGGGCTGGAAGTTCTTCTTCTGTACCAAATTGGCACTAGATCCTCCCTCAATACCTTGAGCACGTGTGTCCTTTGCTCTCGCATTTTCTTCCACATCAGGAGTGCCAATGAGATCCGGAACGGAAAACTCCTGCCTCTTATGCTTCAGTAAGGTAGCAAAGTTCCTCCATGAAGGAGGAAGCTTAGTGATGATACCTCCGGCAACAAACTTGTCCGGTGGCATACAATTGAAGTGCTCAACTTCTCAAGCAAATGACTGTATCTCATAAGCTTGCTCGACCACGGAGCGCTCTTTAGTCATCCTGTAATCATAGAATTGCTCCATGATGTACAGCTCAGTGCCTGCATCCGAGACCCCAAACTTGGCCTCTAGTGCATCCCACATATCTTTTCCATTATCAATTGACACATAAGCATCAACTATGTTCTCACCAAGAACACTCAAAAGAGCAGCCTTAAACAGAGTATCCATTTCCTGAAAAGCTTGTTCCTGTTGGGCATCAGACTCCCCTTCAGGTTTGCCAAGAGTGGCATCATAGCAACTCATGGTTTGAAATCATAAGACCGCTCTCACGCGCCACCACTTATAGTGGATACCCTCAAACATATGAGGTCTTATGGAAGTAGCAAAACCACTTGGGGAAAATTGCCTATAATAAGGTTTTTGGGTTGTTGAAAATATGAGCAATTTACCGAATGATTTTATGAACAGAAATATTAGATAAAGCATGACTAATATAACAGGGATAAAACTAGTCATGTGATTTGACAGAGAGAAGGTAAATAACATGGGCATATATGAACTGTAATCAAGTTTATCTAGAGCAGACAGTAGGGCAAGTTTCATATATGAAGTAGAATCTAACACATCTAGGACAAACAGCAGACCCAGGAATTGTGGCAAGACCTCGAACAGAAAGGAGAGGAGCACATACGGGACAGCAGCAGTAGTAGCACTGGACTTGGGGTCGGTGTCCTCGCCAGCCATGTCGTCGAGGAGGTTGTCGACGTCGGGGAAGTAGTCGTCGGAGTCCGGGGCATCCGTGACGAAGAAGTCAGTAGTCGCGTTGAGCGCTCCCCAAAAATCTTATCACCCTTCTCCCGTACATGACTCAAAATGTGCGGTTCCGGAGGCCTACTGTCCCGACCTGCGGTGCACGCCGCAAGCCGGGATGGGGAAGAACGTAGCAGCAGCGCAGTGCTCAAGAACTTGTGGCGAGAGGAAGAAGGGTTTCTAGTGCATCTCTCTGAGAAGAGTGACCTCCCTTTTATAGGCGCAAGAGAAGGAGGCGAGAGGCTGTGCTGGGAGCTGAAGAGGACGAGGGAGACGAAACGAAAAGACAGCAGGCGAAGAGGTGCGTCATTCGTATTCAATCTCCACTAAAGCAAAAACGTGGCGTGGCGTGGCGTGCGGTGGGGAAGGAGCACGCGTGGATGTCCCTGTTGTTCTCATCCTCATACATGTGGAGAAATAGCCTCCCTTATAAAGAGGTCCAACTACCTCTAAACTAGCAATATGAGACTAAACTTTAGTTCCACCTCTTGTCTTGCACGAATGGGCTGCGTGGGCCTCTAGGATTTGTTAGGAATTTTTGAAACTGCTATTGGGCTAGGCCTAAAATAGACAAAATTCCAGCATTATCTACTTTTTTCTTTTTGAAATCTAGAAAAATGATCTACCTCCTGCAGCAGAATAATCAATACAGTGTGCCTGAATTTACCATACGCTGAATAACTTTGCAGAAAAATGGATCGTGCACAGGAATTTTTCTTTAGGTGGGAGACTCTTTTACCTACCTCGTGATGCATGGTGAGCTGAAATCACATGACTTTCTTGTTAATTGAAGACCAAGAAGGTAGATTTCTGTACGATGATGGGCTGGGAGTCCTAGAACGACCCATCCCTACGATCACACCGTACCACACCGGTCCTCCTTGGTTAGACACATCATACGGGCACTAACGCTGGATACAGTGGCTACCAGCGATGGCCGATTCGACAGCACGGGCGCCGGCGAGGTGAGAATCCCGCGACCACCGTCCCGCCGTTCCCCTGCAGATCGCTCATGTCTTTGGCCTGTCCTCCAGCTGCGCTCCGCTGACCTCCCTCGTGATGGTTGAGGTCGTCACTGTCACCACCAAGGCCCACACGGACCTCTGCCTCCGGGGCTCACAGAAGACGCTAATGGATAGCTTAACATCGCAAACATGAAAACTTAGGTAGAAAACACTGCGGTAACTTTGACCTGGCGAAAAGAGTTGTTAAAGACACACCCTGATAATTTTTGTGTAACTAACAATGATAATATGTGCACGCTAGACCTGATAAGTTAGGTACAAACGCTGCGGTAAATTTGACCTAGGGAAAATAGTTGTTGAAAACATACCCCCGGTAGTTTTCTGTTTAAATACCATGTAATATATGCACCGTGGACGTGATAACTTATTTAGCCCAGACCCGGTAACTCCTGACCCAAAAAAGTTGGCACACACCAACATATGATTTATTTTGAAGGTCCCATCACGATGATTTTTTAATGTGAAAACGGATTTTGAATTGGACCGATGGTTTCGGCTACAAAACATTTTGAATTTTCGATTTTAATGGAATCTTCGTTGACAACACTTTTTCGTCTTATATGAATGTCTGCACACTTAAATTAGTGTTGTTATAGAAAGAAAATAGGTTCAACAGCCAAATAAAGAAGGTTCGAATAGTATGATATTCTATGATTTGTAAAACAGGCAAGCCTAATTCAGGTAGTTACTGGACCTGGTTAGCAGTATGCCTCGCCTCCGGTCGTAGATTCGATACCCACGTAACTCAACCAGTTTTTTCCGCTTTGTATTTTACCCTATTTAGCACCCGGTTTGGAAGAAAATCAACCGCTCGGGAAAGAAAAAAGAAAACCGGAAGGCGAGAAAAAAAATTGGTCGCGAAGCTATGGAACGTGGGGTAAAGATCATTCGGTAATGTTGCTTACAAACGTAATCGTTTGCCAACTATCAACCCCATTTATTTATTTATTTATTCAGGGTAATTGACTTTTTTACTTAGAAGAAGTTAGTTCATTAAACATATTTTTAGAAGTTTTGGAATATGTAAATAATTAAGGGCGATCAACTTTATATTTTGAAATAATGTGGAATGGCCTTTTACTACTGAGTGCCTTTTTTCACTTTCGGTGCAAGATGGTGGGAGAGGTTTAGCAAGGTGGCCGAGCAGTGCCACGTGTAATTCTATGTATCTCTACAATTGAAGCCGAGTCCGCTCGTCATTCGTTTCGTCTCCTGCAGTCATTAATCCAATTTCTTTTTAAAATCAAGCACCGAATCAATTTGAAAATCGAGCCATTAATGCAATTAATTAACTAGACATTTAATTAGGTTTGTTAAATAGGGATTTTTTGTGTCGAATAAATTTAGAAACGGAGCCATTAGTACAATTAATTAGTGAGATAGTTAATTTAGAGTGCAGTTAATTAAGTCCATTTAAATATGGATTTTGCTCAGCAGCCTAATAATAAAAAGGGATGATACTTCATACATCCTCGGCCCTATAATCCTGGACAGAGGGAGTAGCTTCACTAATTTTTAAATTTTTCACATATCCAAATATGTCAACTGATTTTTTTGGTTGCAGGGATAAAAAGGAGAGTATAAGAGTCCATCCCTACACAGACTAGGAATGTTAACCGACCCGGAGCGGATCCATATAACCGTACAGTCCTCTATTTGACCAAAGTTTGCTAACGCATGGCTTACATTATTTTTCTCTCTAGGAATATGAGTAACCACACACTCTCTTTCACCCAAAATACTCTTCACCTCATGAATCACCATGGCATATAGTGATCTATTTTGGTCCAGTGAGTTGATCATCGATCATCTCCACTGCCACTTTACTGTCGCACTTCAGGATGATCGGAAGCTTGGTCCATCTCAACTGATTTGTACATGTAACTGAATGAAGTTTTCCATTTAGATAATCAACATATCATGCGGCAACAAGGGTTTCTACACTAGGGCTTTTATGCCCCCACCCCATTCCTCTCTACTCTGTGGTCGGCTCCGATGGCACTGCACTGATTGCTCATCGAGCGCGGACACAAAGGTGGCTCCGTCACGACGACTATGCATGATGTCCCATCTACCTGCACCGACGGTCATGCTAGCTAGGTCGTGCATCCTCGCTTATTATCCATCAATGAGCAGGCGACATGGCACACTAGTGTGTCCATCCGTTGTCGTCATGCGACAAAGCCTAAGGAGACATGGATGGTTGGGTCAGACGACAACCGTCGAGGATGAATCTAAAATCCGACCCCACCTCTCATCTGGCCACTCTTCTCCGGCAGGAGCTAGTAGCCACCAATGTTTTCGCAGCACAGTCGATGCCACCGTGGCCGAGGACGATCAGTCACACACCAACACTCTTTAGATATTGTTTCATCCTATAGCAATGCACAAATATTTAGCTAGTGGTGATAAAATTTGAATGATAGCGAATTAGAAATCAATCGGCTAGTGGTGATAAGGTTCTATTCTTCTAATATATGAAACGGAAGAGCTCATGTCGGTTGCTCAGAAAAAATAAATCAGTCAACTGTCAAATGGATAGCCCATACATGAAATGAAAGTGGGTTGTTGTAAAAGAAAAATTACATGCAAATATACGGCGAACTTCTTTTTTTCGCGACATCTTAATTCCCAAGATTATTTTTATCGCGCAATCCCGTACAACAGCCTGAACACAATCTAATCTCACTGAACTTTTTCGTTTTTTGAGGGAAATCTCACTGAACTACTCGTGTGTAGGTAACGCGTCAGCACTGGCGATGCTCCCACGCATTGCCCTGCGAGCTCTGCCTCCTCGTCTCGGCACAAGGATGCTCCTCACTGGCCGTGCTCTGACAGGGAGCGTCGGAGGAGGCCGGCTCGTCGGAAATAACGATCTCCAAACGGGTGGACAACACGTCCATACGGTCTGTGCCCACCGCCGCAGTCACCGACGCCGTGGCTGGGTTTGCTTCGCGCAGCGCGTCGTGGTCCGACGAAGACGTCGGGACCTGGAATGGCGGAGCAAGGGTCGCGATCGGACAGGTGGCGCCGGAGGAGGCCGACTCGTCGGAAATAACGATCTCCAGCTCCAGACGGCTGGACGTTACGTCCATGTGCTCCGCGCCCACCGCCGCCGTGGCTGCGTCTGCTTGCTGCAGTGCGCCCTGATCTGACGAAGATGTCGGCGCCTGGAACGGCGGCGGCGCCATGGCGACGGCGTAGTACACGGGCGGCATTGTCCCGGCGGCGGCGCGGTGCTTGGTGGTGGAGCGGCATATGGGGCAGGTGGGGTGCTGCCGGAGCCAGGTGTCGATGCAGGCGGCGTGGAAGGCGTGGCCGCAGTAGGGCAGCACGCGCACCACGTCCTTGGCCTCGTACTCCTCCAGGCACACCGTGCACCTGCACACTCACTTGCGTCAGTACACCATTATTTTCGCAGTAGGGCAGAACTGAAACAGAGCAATGTGCTGAACTCTGAACTGAAACAGAGTAATGTGCTGTGATCCTTCTTCTCCTAAACAGAAAATGTGCTACTCTGCATAAAAAGAAACGAGAAGTGGAGCCGTCTTAACTGTGACTCCTCCTGAGCGGGCGGCCGCTGCGAGTCGTCGCCGGTCCCGAACTTGGCCGTCGGGAAGGTGGTCACCATGGACGGCTCCATCCCACGGATGCCGCGCTCCACCTGCCCAACAAATACAAGTTGTAAATTCGCAATAGAACGGTAGTGTGCTTGCGGCACGTACGAGGAGGAAGGATGCCTAACGTGAATGGCCGGGAAGGACACGGCGTCGCTGGCCTGGGCGGCAGCGGCGTGCTCCGCCGCGGCGGCCCTGAGGTGGATGCGCGCGCAGAAGAGCCTGGTGAAGACGAAGAGCACGAAGAAGGCGCTGACCGAGAAGGCCATCACCGTGGTCACCGTGTTCATGCCCATGCTGCTCGGCCCCGCCGGTGAGGTCATTCCTCCCCCTCTGCTCCTGTACGCTGATTCGGCTCCGTTTCTTCCACACGTCTTCCAGGCACAGGGGCAATCCACCTTCGCGCGCGCGCGCTACAGGGAATTAATCTCTGAAAAAGGAATTTTGCAAGAACCCTAGTATCATCTACCTCTCCTCCGTCTCCCTCCGTTTATTCTTGCATAATAAAGAGGAAGAGGACATGGAAGAAGAGGAGGAAGAAGAAGATGCGTTGCGGATAGAGGCCAAGCGTAGCGACAGGGAGCCCGCCCTGCCCCCTGATGCCCGTCTCGCCCACAGAGATTGTTTAATCATGCGCTAACTAATAATCCATGCTCGCCTGTGGACTAATGCCGGAGAATCTAACCTAGTTGCTCATGCGCTAACTTGTACTACTACTTAGTAATTAACAAGTCAATTATAGAGTAGGCCGGCCGTCGGTCTCATCCGTGGTGGCGCCCGCCCGTCGTCGCGTTATGAATTTGCAGCGTGAGCGAGCGGGCGAGTGTTTGTCAGTGTGTCCCTGCGGCCGTTTCCACGGAACCAACGCCGTGGCCAAAACGCCCTGCTTGTTTCTTAGGAGTACAGAGAAGGATGGTGGGTGGTCTACGTGGTAATAGTCGATCGACGCACCGACCTGCCGGGGAAGCAAGATGGGTGTGCTCTTGGAGCAGATAGCACGGCACGGCGAACCGGAGAAGAAAATCTAACGCGGCCTCGTCTTTATAGGAATTATTATTACAGTTTGTCTAATTCACATCCAAATGTTTTTAAGGATGTCACATCTAAGCTCCCACAAATATATAACGAAGCAACAAGAAACAAAATAAACTAGGACAAAAAAAATAAACCACAAACAGAGTGGACATCAGTTTAGATGTGACATAACTATGTCACATCTAGATGTGTCCTAGTCAGGCCCTTATTATTAGTTCATTACGATAATTAAAGGATAATCGATGTTTCGTCTTAATCTGATATACTTTGCTTGTTGATCCACGCTAATTCTAATTCTCTTAACATGCCGCTTTATATGTCAATTCAACGTGACATCATGTTGTTTTTGCAAACACATAAATCTTGCAGATCTTTCCGTTGATACAAAAAAAAATAAGGAATACAAAAAAGGATACACCACATGAGACGAACGCAAGAAGGCGTGAGTAGATGCTCGGAGCAGAGAGAGACAAGGATGCTCGACCCGAACAAAGAATACAACATAGCTAAACCCACCTAGCCCAGACTCCAGCAATGGAAGGCGAGGAGACGGGACTCGGGATACCCAAACCGTCTCACAACCATCACGAGGCACCTCTGTTGTGCTGTCACGCCTCCAAACCTGACTACATAAACATACCCCCATCAAGAACACCTAGAAATCGACAATTGGGTTGCATGACCTGACCGGGTTGGACGTGGGAGTAGTGAGGGAAGCACCGACGACATCGTTCATTACCCCTGGATGCCCACGCCTAGGGAGGTAGGCCGAACCAACACGGGTGTCTAACATCTAGAAATTCAACACCAGGGACGCCCGCGAGAGAACAAGACATTTCATATTCCATGATTCCAAAATCTCGTGTTACAAGACTGTGAAATAACTTTATGTGGTATGGATGCTGATAATGCATCGTCTAGCTAGCCCTATCTATGAAGTACTGCCACTTGGTAAAAATACATGTATGTGGTGAGATAAAGTAATAATTTAGGCTATGTTTTATAGCAAAGTATCATAAAAACCAAAGCATCAAAAACTACAGTAATTTAACCTGTAGGTATAAAATACCACGGTTTTAACATAACAGAGTTTTCTTGGAGTATTCAGAATACAAGGCACATGTTTGGCTACATCACACAATGCTGTAAAATTTGCTGTCAGTCGCATATAGCTAGCCGTTGCTACACGTGCAGCTGGCCGGTTGTATACTGTTTCTGTTCGTTAATCTAGCCAGGTAGCTAGCTTGGCTAGCCCTTGCCATTCGCAGGCACGCACAAAACGATGGAATGACTATCTTGTATTTTTTTGACACGGATCCAATACCAACCCAGCCAAGCTATCTCATACACGGCCGGACGGGGGATCGGCACGGCCGTTCAGAGGCAGGAGGCGGCGGCGGCGGCAGCGGAGGTTATGGCTTGATAGTGAGGCGAGTCTGTTGAGAATAGCTAGGGACGGGCTCATTTCTTTCGCTTGCTCTGTTTTAAAAAAAGAGGTTCGGGGCTCTTTTTTTTATACAAAGAATTTACCACTGTATTGAAAATACTCTGGTTTTGATAATGCAGTTTTTATTCCTAGCCAAACAGGTCAGTGTAAATAAAACCATGGTAAGTAAAAAAATGTAGTATTCTGAGAATACTTAGAAAATACTTTGCTACACATTTTTAGATTTCTACACATGATGCATCCCTGTAAAGTGTGCCATTGTGTTTTTTTTTACAATAAGAGGATTTTAGTCTTCAAATGATGGTCATATCTATTACAACAAGGTGAGAAATAAAGACATGGTTTGAAGATTCCGAGAAACTTGATATCTAGTGCTAAAAGAGTTTTTTTTCTTAGCCATCCATAATTTTGTATGCCCTTGTGTATATGCAACAATTGTACTTGTTATGCCAATTATGTTCTTTAGGTTATATACATCCAATCAATTTATGTTGAAATTTCCACATCATGGACTAGGTTATTGATGTTTTGTTGCTACCCAGTTAGTTTTTTTTGTGAACTGCTACCCAGTTAGTTGATACTAGTGCCATGTTTTTCGTTGTTAAAAATGTATGTACATACAAAAACATCTACAGTGATGCATTTGAAGTGTTGGAACATTTCTTTCTTCTAATAATGTTGAAACATTTCCTTGCACTCACATGGTAAAGAAAGTAAAATAAAAGAAATGCGAGATGTATCCAAAATTGAAGACCCTATACAAAAGGGCTAGTGCCTTTGTAAATGTCGCGGCACCCGACCTAGAGAGTTGAATCCAAGGGCCGATAAGTCAGGTGTGCTAATTATGTCGGTGCATAAACTAGAGAGGTCCCATATGGCACGTCTAGCACCCGTTCCCAAATTGGCGCTCGCGTGCCACCTTAGTGGGCCGTCTACCCATAGCGCACTTGCGCGCAGGCACTCGCCCCTTGACGGATGGCATGTTGGACAATCGTCGTTGCCATCTGTTGCAGAACTATGGCCATTGACCATTGACCATAGGGAATCATTGACTTTTGCAACAACAAGAATATAACAAATCATAAATTTCAAAATAGTTCCTAAATATTCATTTTTTTCTCAATTTTTAAAATTTTATATATTTGAAAAAAATCACTAATTTAAAAAAACTACAAATCTTGAAAAAGGTCATCAAATGTAAAAAAATATGAATTTGAAAAAAGTTCTTAAATTTCGAAAAGTTCCATGAACTTTCGGAAAAGATCGTGCCTTTGGAAACGTTCATGGATTTGAAATTTTCAAAGAAAGGAAAAAAAGTTTGACAATTTGAAAATCATGCACACTTTCAAAAAAGCTCACCAAATTGAAAAATATCATGAAATTAAAATTAAAAATTAAAAACTAAAAATTAAAACTAAATAGAAATAAAAAGTAAAATCAATAAATAAAAAAAGAAAAGACAGAACAAAAAATAAGCAAAAGAAAAACCCAGAAAAAACACATGCCTAGAAAACCGGAGGGAACCTTCTAGAATGTTCCCAAAATAATCTGGGGAAGAGACAATGGGCCCACAGCCCATTTAAGACATAGCGATAGAAGGGGCCGAGGTGCGGGTCCCGCCTATGTCTCGTTTATCGCGAGACAGATGGCTATCTTGAGTGCGTGCACATTACAGGCAGTCGATTTGCGCCGGCTCAGTGGAGACATAGGTTGACGCGATGACAACATGTTAACGTCATACTAATGTTTCTTTTTTATTTTCGTTTATATTTTAAATAATTATATTTCATAAACGTAAATTTACATAAGAAAATGTGAATAACTTAAATCTGAAAAAATGTTAGCGCAGTTTCAGAAAATATTGATAGCATTAAAAAACTGTTCATCATAATGAAAAATGCTTCTGTTTTCAAAGAAACGTACGTATAATCTTTGAAAAAGACAAATACAATGCACAAAATTGGGTTTGGGTAGTAATAAGAAAAATCACCATTTAAAATAATGTACGTGATATTCTAAATAAATGCTCCCGCATTTCAAAACGAGTATGTAACATTCTAAAAAAATGTTTATAAAATGTAATAAAAGTTTGAATAGGATTAGAAAATATTTAATGCCATTAAAAATGATTTAACATGTATTTGAAAAATATTGACCATGTGTTCAAAACATATATTAAAAGAAAAATGTACATCGTCTATTTGAAAATGTTTAATGTGTATCAAATCTTTTTTACGTTTATTTGAAAAAACTATACATGTGTTAAAAATAAAACAAAAACGAACAGAGAAACAAAGAAAACCAAGACAGTACAAATAAAACCAACATATAACAAAGAAAAAACCCAAAGAAAACCAATGAAAGGCAAAGAAAGTCAAAGAATAATGAAGAGAAAATGACAACATAAGAAAACAGGTGGAAAAATAAAAAACCAAAGAGAAAAAAATAAAAAGTTAAAAGATAGAAAATTAACCCCAAAGAGTGAAAATCAGACAGAGAAAACCCACACAGGAAAAACGACCCAAACAGTAAAAAAAAGACCAAAAGAATAAGCGCAGATTAAAGAAAAGGATGATCTGCTACAGTACTGGGCAAGCACGGTCGCGCCGCGGTTCAGGCGAGGGGAGTTACCATCTCGCTGTAAGCGAGATATAGGCCCCGTGGGTGTGCGCCGTAAGCGTCAAATAGGATTTGGCCACAAACCACGCCTTAAAATGGCTTGCTCATGTATCTATTTAACTTCAATCTATTTTTCTATGTGTTTGTATGCTGGATTTTTCGTTGGTCTTATTGTTTGTTTTCTCTCTACAAGTTTTTGTCGGGTTTCTCCTCGTATTTCAG